TTGGATGTAACCAAACAAATTTTGTAAACGAATCAATAACCGCGAAAATGTATTTATAATTCTTGTTAGAACTCTCCAAAGGTCCTAAATGGTCTATGTGGTAAGTGTTTAGAGGAATATCTTCTTTAGGTAAAGGATGTAATAATCCTTCCTTCTTTCCAGATTTCCGGTTGGCCAGTATACAGGTAATACAATTTGCGATACATTTTTCAATTTTCTCTTTCAATTTGGGATATAAAATGTTGTCTCACATGTTCTTCAGTACGTTTGGCAGCAAAATGACCTCGTTCATGTGCGTCTTTAATTACTTCAATTTGCATAATCTCAGGTACTACTAGTGCTTCAATTCCATTCACCATTTTGTAAAGCACGTCATTCCGCAAACAATAATCTTCATATGGCTTAGACTTCAAAACTTCTTTTATAACTTTTATATTTTTCGTCAGTTTTTCTGAGCTTGAATTATTTTAAATGTTATACCATCTTGAATTACAATACATACAGGATTTCGACTAAGAGCATCCACATGTCCCATACGGGTGCCAGATCTGTGTTCGATTGTGTAATCATAATCTTGTAACATTAATGCCCATCTAGATATTTTAGTACAAATGTCTTTCTTGCTCATAGTTTGTTTAAATGCATTACAATCTGTCACGATTTTAAATGGTATGCCTAATACGTACACCCTGAATTTTTTAAGAGCTTCTACTACTGCTTTAACCTCTAATTCGTAGCTCGAATATTTACGTTCAATGTCTGTCGTTTTCCTACTCATATAATAAACAGGATGCATCTGATTATCAATTAAGGATTTCTGTAACAGAACCGCACCATAACCGTCAGCACTAGCATCAGTGTGTATTTCGGTTTCTGCTTTCGGATTATAAATACACAAACAGGTTCTGATGTCAATATGCGTTTCAATTCGTTAAAAGCATAAAGTTTCTTTAGTTTCGAATTTAAATTTAGAATCTTTCTTCAGTAAATCACTAAGCGGTTTTGCAATTAATGAATAATTAGGTATAAATTTTCTGAAGTAACCAGTTAAACCTAAATAACTTTGAACATCTTTTAAACATCTAGGTTCTGGAAAGTTAATTACTGCTTTCGTTTTAGAAGAAGAAGGATATAATTTCCCATCTTTAAATTTGTGTCCTAAAAATTCGATTTCGCGCTTCAAAAATTGACATTTCTTAATGTTTAGTTCTAGTCCATATTCCGATGCAGTCTGTAATACGCATTTCAATTTTTGAATTCCCTGAGCTTCATTTTCGGAAGGAATAATGATGTCGTCCATATAGATTACAACAATATTCTCCTTTAAAAGATCACGAAATATATCGTAGATGTATCTTTGGAAAACACTTGGGCTGTTGGCAAGACCGAACGGAACCCTCAGAAATTCATACTGTCCGTTTTGTGTCACGAAAGATGTGTATTTTCTACTTTCTTCGTCCACTTCAACATGAAAAAATCCGTTCTTTAAATCTAGTGTTGTAAATACCATTGCTGCTTGTAATTTATCAATAACATCATCAATTAATGGCAGAGGAAAGCGATCGCGAATTATTTTTTTATTTAGGCGCCGATAATCCACACAAAGTCTCCATGAGCCACATTTTTTCCTACTTAGCACGATATTACTTGCGTAATCAGAACAGCTTTGTTTAATAATTTGTTTCTCCAACCACTCCGAAATCTGTTTATCAATTTCACGCTGCTCAGCTGGGGGAAAGCGTCGCGGCGAGCAATAAACTGGAAGTTCATATCTGTCAGCACTATTCGCATCTTCAGGCCTGATGTTTTTATTTTATTCGGCTCATAATTCCTTACTAAGTGTAGTATTTCATTTCTATGTACTCCGTCTTTGATATGGCTTAAATCAATTTCCTCGTCATTATAAATATCACGAATGCACATCAAATAGTTTTCAGGTTGCAATTTTCTAATTTCGACTCCTTTTTTATTTACAGTTAATTCCCCTTGCCTTATAATATCAGTACCAATGATCGCTTGTAAAAACATTTCGTTTTCTGCGATAACACAAATATTTGATCGAAATGAAGAACCATCAATTTCGAATTCACCTTCAAATCTTCCTATAGGCTTAATTTTTCCATTAGCAAACCCCGTTAACTGTAGATCTGCCGACTTAAGTTCAGGAGAACCTATCTTCTTATGTATATCTTCTCGGATTAACGTTACCTGACTACCAGTATCTATTAAAGCATCAATTTGAAAATTACCCAAATTAACAATTTTATGCATTTCTTTCTGACAAGTCTGAGTTATCGGAGTAACAGCTTTGGCATCTTGGATATTTTTAGATGATGTTTTCGAACAATCTATGGCCTTGTGTCCGAACAAATTGCATTTAAAACACTTAAATCCTTTACTCTTATTGTTACAAAAATTAGACTTATGACCTAAACTTCCGCAATTATAACACCTTGGCTCTTTAATCTTACTAGGTACAGCGCGTGTTTTATTTTCTGTGTTAGTACTTGAATAACCCTTATTCTTCGTATCTGGAACGCGAATTTTCTCATATATTTTTAATTTCTCTTTGAATTCAGAAATAGTTTTACAACCGTACAAAACAATTTTGTTACTACTCTGATCTGGTATCCCATTGATTACATAATCAAGAATTGATGAATCATCAACAAAACCGCGACTGGCTATTTCACGCATGGCAATTAAATATTCGGAAAGTGATTCACCAGGTTCACCAGGTTTTAAGTGTCGTTTCTGTAACAAATTATGAAGTTGTGCACTGTTTATTTTAGAACCAAATTCAGATAAAAGATTTTCTTTTAATTTGTCCCATGATATTATACCTTTCAAAGACCTAATAAACACTTTAGCAGAACCAGTAAGCAATTTTTTAGCAAACACAATTTTCTGTAATTCCGATAACTTAAATAATTTAAAAGATTCTTCTAAATCACCAATGAAGGATTCAACTGGATATGTATCAGTGCCATTAAATTCAGAAACAGTTTCTAAAATATCACGAAAATGTAAGGAAATAGTGCTAGGCATTATAATGTTTTCATCCACTGAGTTATTTATGGGAGGTGATTCTGACCGAACAGAATTAATATCATCATTCTTATCAGAATCATAAACACTTCGTTTTCAGATAACTCATCATCGTCATCACTTTCGGATTTTAAAAGCTTAAAATCACAAAGACTATTCAATATTAAATCACAGTTTTTATCAGGATTTAAATCATAATTAAGATGTAACAAATTACACACAGAAATAAAATCACTTGCAGTAAGAGTTTTAAGTAATTTTTGTTTTGTTTCTTTAATATTAAAATCAGATGGAAAACCGCAAAAGTTACGCAATCTAGCTCTATTTTTTCGATCACCCAAAGTTCCAAACACAATTTGATGTAAAAGTTTAATTGACTTAGTAGGCCCAGTCTTTAAAGAATTTGAAATTCTAGGAATAGAATTTAAGGTTGTCATCTTAATTCACAGTATCGCAGAACACTATTCTTAGAAGTAACAATGTGGAAATAATCGAAACAAAACTTACTTCTCTTCTTTTGTAATATTCATCATGCTTCTTCCTAGGCTCATCGCGGCCTAAGCGCCCAAATCTGTAGAATCGGTACTTACTGTCTAGGAATATGATGTTTGTAAACTTACTTCCGATGTGGCTGTCTAGGGGCTAATAAACTAGTCCGATTTATGTAAAACTTGAATATTTAATGAAACATGAAGAATTGCTACAAACTACAAAGTAATTACATACATAGAAGGAAATAGATGAATTTACATAGATAATATATACAGATGAAGAGAATCGACTGTCTTTTTCATGTAAACATCTTTCAGTCGCGTCATCGTCTTAATGGCGGAATCGTCTGCCTTCCATCATCGGAAAAGTAAAAGATTTATTTTCACAGCTTGTCGCGTCATCTGATTATAATGAACGATGCCATCCCACAATAATATGTTCAAAATATTCTGAACTGCTTTTATTGCTCTTAAGTCGCTTTATTGTCTGCTGAATATCAGACAGATTAAATTTGAAAGTCAGATATCTTACACTTTAAAGACAAGCAACACACTGGAACGTGAAAGATAAAGTATTATTTTTTCAAACAGTGGTAATACACTGCTTTAAATAGCAGAGTTTGTTGAATAAAATTGAAAGGAATCTTACATTTTGCCGAATGGCAACAGTCTTGTACTTTGGAGATAAAAATATTTTATTTCAAAACGGTGTTCAAACAGCTCGCTTTCCAATAGTTGAGTTTTTTAATCAAAAATTCGTTAAATTCGTGCAAAATACGAAATAAATCAAAAATAAATTCGAAATTCAAAATTGTGGCTTCGAGATGTACAATGATGTTGAAAGACTATGTGTGTTCAAAATTTGGTGATTCTAGGTGCAGCCGTTTTTTCGCAATGCGAGGAAAATACAAACATACAAACACGGGTATATCAGAGATTTTACGTGATTTGTGCAATTTTGTTTATTCCAGATTTTAAGCTTTAAAATCATTTAAGATTTATCTTTATAGAGGGCGGTATTAGAAAAAAAAAAAGAACTTGATACTCAATTTTGAAATTATGTATTTCAATTGCAAATTATGCGAATATAGTTCAGAAATCGAAATTTTTTGACAATTCAGTTCCTAAAATTTGTGTACTAGTTATTCATTTGATTTTGTGCCAAATATGTGCAGTTCTGATGATCGTTAGTTAAATTATCCTTTTGCTTATTTTTCAAAGAATAGGTGGGAACGGTTCAACGATTAATTCATTACATCCGCGGATTAATGTGGCGCAATTGGCGTTCGATCGCCTACTGAACTACAGCAACCCTGCGATAAACCGTCTGGGCCGACTTACCAAGCACAGCAGCCGCACGGGAACATCAGCCAATCAGACTGCGGTCCGGCACCGCGACGGAAGTGACGTCACGCGGAAGAATGGTTGCCCTTTTAAGGGTGAGTCTCATTGTAACTGGGGCCAGGTGGTGAATTGCAGTTGCTCCATCCGAACGGTTTTCTGATCAGTTTCTCTACCGCATCTGTGTGAAAACGAACTTTTTCTCTGTGAATAACGAAATTTCGAGAGAACATTTTAATACTTTAGAGAAGAAAAAATGGCTCCCGTTTATGACTTCAGGCATGTTGAGCTGGATAAGATAGGTCGTGGAAAAAGGTAGGTTTTTGTGCTTTTATGTGCATAAAATTGGATTATTATGGATTGTATATGTTTTAGACATGAGAGACACGAACATGGGTAATAATTACATTAATGGACCGTATTGGATTATTCTACGACTACTAAGAACTGCATATGAAAGGCAAAATATACTGATAAATTACAGTTTGTTTTAATTATTTAAGTTAAATGCTACCACTGTGCATTTCACATTAAAATAATTTATTTTTGTAGTACTGCGATTTTTAGGAATGTTTTCTTGATCGAGTAATTTCTACATCTGTTATATACATTATGTTATTGTGGATTAAATTCTACGTTTATAAATAAGTGGCATTATTCCAATCATATTTTATATTAAAAATTTTAGTTCTAGATAGAAGTTAATATCCATCCACTTATTGATGGATATTCACTTCTAGAATTATCCTAATGCTTCGGCAGGTTTTGGAAATGCAGATGTAAGAACACGGTTATTACTATTTTTATTTAAGGTTGAATAAATAATTCGCTACTTTCGTTTTCAAAATTTATGAAATGTTGGTTTTTTATCGAATGTTAATTTTTCGGAATGAAATATTTTATTCTTATTCTTGTATGTTAGAACTGTGGTGGCCATTTAGTGAATAAAACATTTAAATATTCGTTGCGTTTCCATTTTTACCAAATGAATTGAAGTGAAAACAGTTTTTTAATACTGAAGTAGTTAAACCAATACTATAAAAGATATACTTATTTCATTGCTCTCAGATTCAAAGAAAAAATGCTGAGAAATTTAAAACAATTTAATAGCAATTTTTGTTACGCGTATTTATGATAAATTTGTGTTTAAAATCCACGAGTAATAACTGTTATTCTTTAATTTCTTAGAATTAGTCTGTTGCATTTAGGAAAATACTTTTTAAACAATTTTCGGTTTTGAATGCTGAGAAGGTCATATTAATGCTATTCTTCTTTGACAAGAATAACTATGCCATCATTATTTTGTCGATAATTAGAATTCATTTCTTATTTAAGTAATTGGAAGAAGGTTCTCCATATGTTTTCTAAATTTTTATTTAGGAAGACAAAGTGCCAGCATTTAGTTGGATTACTTGCGTGTTTTTTTATTCTTGATTTTTTACCAAAGTATGATAATGAATTTATATTGTAAAACTTTCAATGAAAACTATTAAAAATGGTCATACCTAAAGGAAAACTGCTTCATGGATTTCTTAGAATGAATCTAATCTCATGTCAATTGATGCTACACTAGGAACTTTTAATTCTAGATTGCTTGCTGTTTCTCTTGAAGAATACTGTTCCGTTGAATACTAATGAAATGTCAGTAATTGCAGAAACTTTTTTTAACAATATTGGTTTAAAAATCTTTCTGTATCGAATATATGTACTTGAGATAATAACATGTAGGGGCTGTATTATATATTTTTTAATGAATTACACCAACGAAATTTAGCGAAAGGAAAATTGATTCTAGGTGTTGGAATACGTCCCGGAATGTTGAGATCTTGAGCTTCACTGCAATACACCCAGCAGTTTTACGCTATTCACTTTTCGAAAAAGAAAAAGTTTGTGATTGCCGTTAAGAGATCGAAGAATTTAAATATCTTGCAGTAGCTCTTTTTAATGAAATAGTTTACTTCAAGCAAAACAAAAGAGTTGAATATATCTTCTAATTATTAGTCTTTCTTTTGTTAGCGGGTAAAAAATTGTAATGAAAAATGATGAGCAAACAACTTGTATAAAATTATTTTATTTTATGCGTTATTTATTAGCTCTATATTTAATATTTTAATGTTAAGTTTGACTACACTTCTTATTCAACCGTTATTCGTTTTTTGTAGTGATGTTTGCGAATGCTTTTAATTTTATACATAACGTTCATCTCATGAGAAAACACGGCGATATTAAACTGCGGCTTTGCATTTTGATCTAAAACTGGTTTTAATCAAATAAGTCGTAATTAAATATCGATCTCGGTATTTTTTTTTTAATTTTTTATTTATTTATTTTTTTTTTTTTTAGTTTAGGAAGTAAAGATTTTCTAAAAATAAATTGTTCTTAAAAGTAATTTATGTGATTTTTAAGCTCATCAGAGGCAAAGACCCTGAGTAATTTTAATGAAATTAGCTTTTTTCCGTAAATCAAAATTATGGGACTTCCTTCCATTGAGTTTTTTAAGGTAACAAATAATCTTCATACGCTGTTTTGGATTCCTGTTCTGTGTGCAATAAAGAATCTCAAGCGAAAGCATATCATGAAAATCAAATGTTATTAATTTGTGCTTATTATTATCGCTTGAAAAAGATGAACAGTAATATTATTACGCCCTAGAATTGCATTCTCAAGCATTCATGCGAAGAAACTTTTAAACATTCATGAAAATAAATTTTTAAATGCTCATACGAATGATTTGCAAATGTCTTTGATTTATAATAAATGAAATATGTGATAAATTCTCAGGATTTCGTGACTCGAGTTACTTAAAACGTACTCCATGAGTGGTTTTCATTTCCTTGCGATATCTAAATGATTATCACAACTTTAATTTAAGGATTAATTTCCTTTAATTAATTTAAAGAACTGGAATAAATTTTCATAAAGTAAAAGGTGCATATCTTATTCTTTTGATTTAAATTTAAGTTTTAAATTATCTGACAGTCTCACTAGAATTTTTGCAGTTTCGCTTGAATATTACGATGATGCCGGATCCTAGCGACTCATAGACCTAGCATTTATTAAAGAAACGCTGAAGTTTTCATATCGGTAGACATCAATTTTTATTATTTTTATTTTATTTCGCGTTTTTTGGAGTACCCCCCCCCCCCTTTTAGTAGGAGCGAAGCATTTAACACTTTTAAGTTACGGAGTCTCATGCAAAGGTTACTCACCAGTGCAATTAGCATCAAATTTTTGTACATGGATTTACTAAGGAGTCTAGTTGTATGCATATGAATTGTGTGTTGCTGTAATAAATTATTATTACATTTTATGGATATAATTTTTTTCTAGTGTGGCAATATTGTTCCATATTGTGCAAAAATGTGAATTTGACCAATTATTGTTGAGATTTTTGTTTTAAGGTACTGCGACACTCCTACTACGAACGTATTTTCATGCGTATTGTATCATATATATAAAATAACTGCTTTCAGGTGGGGTTAATCTAAGTGCTGCCAAGTTTTTACTGTTCTTTAAGATTATGGAAAAACCACCTCAGCAGTGATTGTGGATTAAAAAGAACATTTAGTTATCACATTTTATATTTATAACATGTCAAACCTATCAAACGTTATCTTATTATTGTCATAGTAAGCAGAATTTATTCTTAATTATAAATAAGTAATACTTCCTAAGTAAGTTTCCCATTTTCTTATCAATTACATGCTTTTAATTCTAAATCCGATGAAGAATGTAAAGAACTTCTCAAGCCGAGCTGGATGAAAAAAGCTAGCTGAGTCTTTCAGAATCTCAAAAAAACTTGGTGGGAACCGCAAGGGATCATCAGTCCTTGACTGTAACACCTGGTGCAAGGGGAAGAACACGATCCCTTCTCCCTCATCCAGAAATAGGAGGTGAGGAAGAAAAAAAATGCTGTCAGAAACATATTTTCGCTTTTTCTTCTTCTCTAGTTGCCTCTCTCCCACTCTCGGAGCACATAAAAAGATGAATACGAGAACAGGTTTGTTGAATGACTTTATAATGCCCTCGGTGCAACTTTTGAACTGATAGATTGGCCTTGAAATACTGCCCTAACAGATGGTCGATGTTCATCTTTTGGTTAGATTTGATTTTCTGTTAGTAAAACAGTCACTTTCATTTGAAGTCATTTTCTTTGATTTTCAGTTATTCTAAATGTTTCAGAAATAGTTTTCAGATATATTCATTTGAAGACGAACAGATTTGAAGAATAAATAGTTGGATCTTATTTAATCGTGCTGATAACAGTATCTGGGAAACATGGGTTAATTTAATTATATATGCGACAATTAGAAATCCAGTAAATGCGCAATTTGATTCAAATGGCGCACAAAATAAGTTGATTAGGAACTTAAATTGCTAGCTGTACATTGTTGGCTGCGATGGTAAGCAACCAGTTGTTGTTTGATTTTTAAGCATTATTCAACTCCAGCAATTTGTAAAAGGTATGACTATTGGAACGAACCGAAAGAACGATATGAATTGAAGTACTTTGCCAGATCTGAAGGGGCTAAGAGGCTGCATTGCTTCAGAACAAAAAAAAAAAAAAAAAAAAAAGAGGACTGTAAGGATCTACAAAACCCACATCTAAATGTATAGTAAGCAAAAGTAAGTACCACTGAGAAAGACTCGATTTTCATATAGAAAAGTTCGTCAGGAATTCTACACATTCGGTATGTGGTTGTATTAAACTACTGATTACGCTTACCTTTGTATGAAGGACATGGAATGGTGAAAGATCATCAAAAATTTAAACTTCAAAAATCATAGCACTGTTTGATTCTATCTCATGTACTCTTTCTAGCATCCAAACTTTGATTTTTCTTTGGAGATATCCTACCGAAGATAACCCTTCGGACTGATTCAGCTCACGGTATATCAAACGTAAGAAAGGATGGGTTTCTATTTCATTTACCTGATTGTGCCGTTCATAGAAACTAGAATATTCCATATAAGGCATATCTAGATAGATGATATCTGAAATTCTGCAAGCCTGCATACTTCCATAGCCCAGGTAGTCTTTCTGAATGTTTGTCATCAAGGCGGGGGATGTTTCGGTATGTGAATGCTTAGATGCAATTTAAGAAACAGGATGTCGAAATTCTGGTTACATTTATATCATTAATCACTAAGGTTTAACTGTTTATATGGACATCTAGAATGCTGCTTGAAGACCTCGTTTGGTTCTTCCATCATTTGTATGAAAGGTTTCTTTTAATTATGTTTATTTATGTGCACAATCTCGCATTCCGAATGCACTTGATGACACAATCTTAATTGTTAAACTACATTGCTCA